GAGACACAAATGGGGGCCATTCGGTTGCAGATGGATTTCCAGCATCAAGATCTGAAGGGCGTCATTGATGCTCTCGCGGCTTCAACGAAGGAGAGCATCGCCGCCCTCACTACTTCTTTGATGCGAACTCAGGAGACATCGCCGCTTCCCTCACCACTGCGTAACAATTACGATCAACGCCCTAATCATCTGCACTTCCGGCATCAGCCGTGTCGGTCGTCAATTGTGGATCCCTATCCTCGTCGCGAGTTGCCCTATTTCTCTAGCTCGGATCCTCAGGTGTGGGTGAGCAAATGTAATGAACTCTTCATGCTTTACTCAATTCCGGAAGATCAGAAGGTTGATTTGATTTCGTACTATCTGGAAGGGCGAGCTCACACATGGTTTGAAGGCTGGCCTTCCCGTCGTTTTCCTTTGCTTTGGGGTAATTTTGTCGACGGGTTGCTTCGTTGGTTTGAGAGTTAAGTGCATACGAATGTCGTCGCGACGTGCAATCAGCTCCAACAGACAGTGTACCTCCCTTCGTTGATTTCCGAGCAAACTGGGTTTGTGGGCGACTCCCAGCCACTGTGTGGTGTTCCAGAACAACTTGCTGGCAAACTCGGCATCAACGGGCAATCTCACGGTATTTCCACTCCACTCTGCTGTTGAAATTTCCTTCTATCCATACAACTCGCTTGGGAGAGGATGCCATCGTGGCTTGCAAAGTGCAGAAGCAATCTCAAATTAGTGATTACTTAGGTTCGGATGGTGAGATAGTGGCTGCGACTATTGAATCTCTTCTTCCTCCAAGCCTGGTTGGTGGGAATGGTGCTCTACTTGCTGAAAAGAAACATATACCTCTTGCTACAACTTACCCAACTGAACATAAACATGTATTGTTGATGCAGCGGCCTCAAACTATGGCAATCACAAATCAAGTTCCAATAGTTGGGAAAGTGTTGTCAGCAGGAACAATAGGTTTTTTTTCAGCAGCCTCAAGACATGGTTGTGGATAAAGGTGGGTCATTTTATTTTGAGTTTCATGGTGTTGGGACTGAAATCTCAACCACAACTTGTTATGTGTATGAAGGGGGTAGGTTCGATAGTTTCTTTGTGTTGGTGGAAATTGGGAGAGGTACTGGCTTTGACTTCAAAGAGCCCTACAAGGAGTTGGGTAGGACTATGGTTCTTTCTTATGGAAGAGGGGGAAACCTTATTCTGCAGCTAGCAACCAAGCAGTATTGTTGTTGGAAATGCTCCTTTGTCAAAGGTTATACTAGTGTTGACGGTGATGGCTCAACGAGGCACTTATCGGGTAATCTGTAGCTTGGAGAAGTCTGTTCTAGCTCCTTGAGACAAGAACATTTCAGCAGGTCAAGCTTACTGCAAGTCTGCAACAGCCTATGATGAGTTCTAAGTTCCTGCCAATGAGCAGTTAGAAGGGTGAAGTATGGGTGGATCATTCAATTTTGAGAAGGGCAGGAGCTGGTTTTCAGCTTAGTTTCCAGCTTGAGGCAATTTCCAGTTTACCAGCTTTGTTTCAGCTTAAGGTCAAGATGTGTTTGAAGGAAACGGGTTTTGTAACAACCCAAGCCAGCTATAAATGGCTAGATCCACCTGTTATTGAGGCATCTTTTGGCCAATTGAGACTCTGTTAGTTACTTTCCTCTTTTTACGCCGTAGCTTTTTAGCTCTGTAGAACAACTAGCTTTTCCTCCATTCTTCCTCCTCTCTGTATCATCTCCATTCCTCTCTGATACCACTTGTAAGGATCTTTGTTAATGGATCCTACGAAGAAATGGCGAAGAAGAAAAAGATACAGAGGGAAAGAAGAGTTCTGATTATCTAGCTATCTACAAATTGGGAAAGTAGCAATTCTGTTTACAGATTGATCAAAAGATAACCAGTCACAGAGGGTCTCTTCCTATTTATACATTGGTTCTTTACACGTCACTTTCCAACTGTGTCTGGGTTGTTACATCATACCTAAAACAACAGTTCTCCGACGCGATTTGAGCTCCGACCTTGCAAGGATAGTTCTCTCGTATAATTCCAACCGCTTGCTTGAAACAATCATCGCACGTGGCACGATCATATCGCAAGACGAATAGTGGTACATCCATATCGAGAACGTACAAGTGTGGTCGGGGAACTTGGACTCCGGTTCATTTGTCGAGCTCGTACTTGGTGATACCATACAAAACCGCTTCCTGAACCACCTCATCACCGGTAGTGAAGAATTCTTTGTCACTGCAACTGTAGGCTTATTGGCCATTTTCTCCGCGCGAAAGGCATACTTGTTGTGGTCAAGTTTCATCACCGGCGACCACGGAGTTTACATTAGCGACGTCGCTGGAGAAGCCGTCGCTAATTGTGACAAGCAGCAGAAAGAATGACGACCGCCTTAGTGCTGGCGTCACCGAGTGATGAATTCTAACAGTTGTGTGTGTTTGTCCTTTCATTCAATAATAATAACAAAAATAAATGAATAATAAAGTAACTGAGCATAGTTTCTCTTTGCAAGTGGAAAATGTTAATAATAATCATATACGTATCCTGAACGCAATAATTTGCACTTAATTAACTCGCTTTTCTTTGCCCTTACTATAGTATAGATTTTTTTTTTGATAGTATAGATGACGAGAAATTCATTGCTCGATCTGCATCAATGTCATCCGAGGATGAATTCCATGCCCTTTGTTATACGTGTGTAATTAAATTTGATCTGAATTGAATAGATATGATGTTTTCTTTTCGTTGAAGTTAATAATATTTTAAATTTCTCTTCCAATCGATGTACAACTCATTCTTTTTCATTTGAATTGTTCAAAAAATTTGTATGGATAAACCATATATGATTTGTGATAATAAAACGAAATATATTTTTATATTTAAAAAGATAAAATTTAAAACTAAGTATATCACAATCAAATCATCATTTTACGTTACCATCAAGGTAAATGATGCTTCGATTAACATAATGAGACATGAGTGTACCATGCAAAGTGAGTGAGTATTATTTCGAAAGAACATAATTAAATGATTAAGTGTTGAATGTTTTTCCAATGACAAAAAGGGTTATTTGGGTCAGGCAAATGTTAATATGACATTAGAATTTAGAATTCCAAAGCTTTTACCTACTGTTACTTCCAATATAATATTTGTATTTGATGAGAATGCTTTGTATCCCACTCCTATAAATCCATATATATATGTGCTACAAATCCGGCCATATCCGTCCCATATTCCCAACTTGTTGTACCAAATGGGATCGCAATGCCTTTGAATTTGATCAATGTATCTCACTTAATTCGTTACGTTCGTGTGTGTGTGTGTCTATATATATATATATATATATATATATATATATATATATATATATATATATATATATTATAGATTGCTAGCTAGCCCACTTCACTTCTCTTCACACATAACAACAACGTAAGTACGTAACATAGATACATACATAGAGAGAGAAAATTAAAGCAAACCGGCCGGCCCGCCTACTCATCGACGTAAGTGCACCATTAATACATACTGATCATCGGCAATGGCATCACTATTACTGATCATGCGGCTTCCATTGTTCTTGCTGTTGTCGCTAATGATGATGATCATCCCAGACCCAGTCCCAGCTGAAGCCGGTGGCAAGAAATGTGATACTACGCAGGGACGTACTCTTTGCGGCGGGGGCGAATTCTCCTACACAAACACGCAGGATGCATTACTATCAAACTTCCGAGTATATTTGGGCTGCCGGCCGGCCGACAAGCTTTCTGAGCCGGTTACGGTCTACGGACATTCTTGGTGTCGCGATATTGATACTGGTAACATTTGCCCTAGCTGCTTGAGTGATGCGATCCATGCCATAGAAGGCCAGTGCCCTAACAGAGCTGGAGCTCAGTACGCGACGGAGGATTGTTGTGTTCGTTATGAGACCTACGACTTCTGTTAGTTCCTCTTCATCATGTTGATTGATCGAGATGATCATTATATGAATATTGTTGCTGTATGAGTTTTGTGTGCTTCTAGTTTCCATTTACGTACACCGGCGTACGTTTTGATTGGTTACAATCGGAACTAGCTAGCTATGATCAGTTGCCGCCGGCCGGCGATATATGTACTCTTTTATATATGTTGCGCAGGCGCAGCTAATAAATTAGCTCGATCTCTTTTATGAGTGGGCATAGTAATTAATAATTACATTGTAATCCTGGGTTGGGTTGAAAAGAAGTGGTTAAGATCTCTCTATATATAAAAGCATCTCTTCTAATAATGTTATTGGAAATATTAATGATAAGTTAATTTTAGTTATTGAGACGTGATGACAAAAGATGTTCGAAATACAACAATCCAATAATACGGATAGAGATTAATGTTTGAAGTTTGATAAATTTGATTTTGTTAAAGGTTCAAGGGTTGAGAAATTCAGTCAAGACTTGTTGCTAAGGTTTTGATTAACCTCTATTCTAAGGAACTTGACCTAATTCAATCCGCATAATAAATCTCGTATACTATGAGTTTATGTATGCTTAAGTAAAATCTCGACGAGAATTGAAGAACAAGAGGACTTTTCATCGATCAAACCATAATCTAGTTACTTTGAAAGTCGGTGTTGGCAAAAGGACATAACATCTTGTTGATTTTAATCAATCGCCTTTAATAGTGAGAGGTCATAACATGAATGAGACGAGTAGTGACAATGCTATGTGATCCTTTAATACATTATTAGGATTCTTAGTGATCCAAGTGTTCAATGTTTGAATCTTGTTTGTTCTTTATATTCATTATTATTTGGTAATCCCAAATACCAATGCTTGATGCATATAGTTAGAAAGTGTAAATGGTGATTTCAACAGTGTTAAGATGAAATGAGTAAACTAGAAAAATAGTTAATAGCACCCGTAAAATGAAACTTCCGGTACCATTTTTAGATATTGGAAATGTCCATGGGCCGAAGTTGATTTTTTATTTCCTTATGTTAAACCCCCAATTAGGCCCTTGAAATTCCGGAGCCAGGTTCTTCTCTGCGACCATTTCCAACTCGATACTCTTCCCAGAACACTGAAAACCCCACCGAATCAACCTTCCATTCCCTCTTATTTTTCTTCCCGCCGGCGGGAAGAGGAGGATTCGGCGATTTAGTTTGCGGCAGAAACAAGGTAAACATTCATCACTCGTGGATATTTGTGAATGTCTTTGTGGAAGTTCGAGTTATCTTTGGTTCATTGTCGCCTTTGTTAGTCCATTTACCACTGAGTTCCTTGCAATGTGTCTTTAATTTGATAGGCAGTGGTCGTTGGGTTATCTCGCTTCCCGCCGGGTGTTATCAGTTGTTTCTTGGTTCAGATTTCGAATTACGGTGATCGCCGGGATAATAGATGGGTGATACGGGCGGTTTCTCCCAAATGCATGTTTGAGGGGTAGTGTTAGTTTGACAGGAAATCCGATTTTAGGATCCTTACTAAAGCTTGACAGTTGGAGTGTTCTTGACATGTTACATTGCTCCAGTGACTGAAGTATGCTGAACTTTCTTGTTTCATTCTGTTGTTGGGATTTGAGATACAGGGTTGATTTGGACAAATGGCGGATCCTGGAACTAGCAGATCGAAGGTGCAGGTAAATAATTTGATGATGGTTCATATGGGCATGTTAAAGATGTCACCTTGAGGCCATTCCTCCCCACCCCAAAACCAATTTTGTGATCAACTTACCTTTTGTCTTGATATGGTTGTTTCTTTTCTTTCAGGTCTACTTAGATGCGGAGCATGCAAAGTGCAGCATTTGTTTAAGCTTATGGCATGACGTTGTCACCGTCGGTCCTTGCCTTCATAATTTCTGGTGTGTAGATTTCATTCTTAACTTGAAATTTCAATGAAGGAAATGACATTGTTTCTTGAGTCACATTGTTGTTAGTATGTCTAATTGCTGAGTAACTAGAGACCCTTTGAACTGGGTTTGATCAATGATCTACATAAAAGATAAGACCTTGAGCTGCGTGTATTAAAGTTTATTATTTATTAAAAAACAATCTGTGGCAGAGTTAATTTTTCTTTCCACTTATGTACACGTGTTTTTTTGCAACCTCCTCTGTTCTTGACTGTGATTTAGTGGTGCTATGAGGGTTTTCTGAAGGGAAATTTCGTCATTTATAATGGACTTTTTTATAAGAAATACAAAGGCATTACTTTAATCATGTTTGTTTCTTAGGATGCAATGGATTAAACTGAACAGTGATGCTTAAGTAGGTGACAAAAATCCTCAAGGAGAAAAGAAATTCGAACTAGATGGCTCCATACTTCAAACTTTTTTTATAGTGGGATTCTTCTGGCCAGAACTCCCTTCATTTTGTTTGTGGGTTCCGGTTGATGCCCAATTCGCCGCCTACTTGTGGTTGATTAACAGTATTTCGTCCCCATTGGTTTCATTTCATGCAATAGTAATTTAAACTGGTGAAACGACGTTGATGTGCCTCTTGCTCCCTGTACATTTCAGCAACGGATGCTTCTCTGAATGGTTAAGGAGATCACAGAAGAAACAGTTGAAAGTTCTGTGTCCTCAGTGTAGAGGAGTCGTGCAATTTGTCGGTAAAAATCACTTTCTGCACAATATAGAAGAGGTAGCATCTTTCACATTATGTGTGCATGTAATCTGCTGTAAGTTATTTGTATTGCTGGCTTACTAGGCCTTGTAACTGATGTAGTGATATCTCTTTACTTTCATTCGACCCATTGCATTCATCCTAGTTAGTAACTTGGAAATATAAAGGATACAAACAGTGTCTACTTGTTTTGTAACTTCTGCCATCATCTTCACCATTTTATCGGTTGTGGATAATATATCAACTGCAGGCTTCATGTCTGATCAATGCTCGTGGTTTTGAATTCTAGTGGAATCTATTGTATTTTTTTTATAACCATTTTAGGACATAATCCGGTCTGATTCTTCACTAAAGAGGTCTGAAGAAGAAATTGCTCAACTTGACACCTATGCAATGATACACTCAAGCATTGTAAGTATCTTTACCACCCATAGCAGGCTGTATAAGAAATTGCTTTAGTGTTTGTGGAGTAGAATTACAGTAGCAAAACTAGTATTTGGTCTAATCTGTTGATTTATGTCCCATCTGGTGGTTGCCGTGTTAAACTTATTCTGTCTAGTTCATTATGGTTTCTCATAGTGCAATGCCTCTGCAATTGGGGTTCTGAAGATTAAGGAATCTGTATATACCTTCTCTGTCGAATGCAATAATAAAGAGCGTAATTGATGTTTCGTTTTGAGATTTGGATGGGACACAAACTCATGGTTACCATTGTGGAATATTGAGCTCTGGAAAAAATCAATTCTAAATCAGAAAAGGATCTATATTTTGTCCTCCCAGTGAAGGATGAAGGGAAAAATGATTACTTTATTGTATTGGTGGTGTTCTTCAAGCATTAGAGGTTCTAGCTCCTTTGTTGTTTGGATTCTGTTGTTCCTGTAACCCCACAAAAAAAATCTTGTGGATTCTAAATCAATAAGTGATTGATCCATATGGTTAACTATGATATATTTTTAGGTAATGGAGCCTGGAAAGAATCGTGAACGTAAAAGGACACGTGTTGAATCAGAAGCTCCAGATGAGGATTTTGTTGAGTTCTTAGAAAGATTTGGTGTTACCTCTCCTCAATGCTTGCAATGTGGTAAGATTCAGCACTCATCCATTTTTATTTTCAATGTTGTAGTTACCTTACTTAAACATGTATGCTTGACATGATAATATTAATACCTGTCTGGTGAGGAACTGAGGATCAGTCAACTATGAAGTTTCTTCAGTGTATTACAAATCAGACTGCATGGGCATGAGAATCAACATTTCTTCTCTTCCCCATTTCTTGTGTAATAAACTTCTTGTCTTTGCTCTTTTATCTACTATCATCAGGTACCGAGTATAATGGATTCTGCAGCAATGGGAATACAGTCCACTTAGAATGTCATGCCTGTGGTGGTAAAATGCCTCTGAGAGTCAATTCTGATGCACCTCAACATTGTATGTGAAGGGTTCGCTAGCTTTTCTTACCTCTTTTCACATGTAATGATCACCACGTTTCAAAACTATGTCAAACAATCTCGAGAATCCTTTGGATTTCTCCTTGTCTTTTGCTTCCTTCTCCGGTTTGTTCGAAGGAGAATGATTCCACAGCATATTCAGTTCTGAACTAAGAAAATGCATCATGTCATCATGGTTAATTATCTTTGTCTTCTTAAAGTAACTAACTTGACTTGATTGGCATCTCATATGCATAAATGGCGGACTTTTTGCTGAGAACTGATATTGTTGCTTCTTTCTTTTGTTACAGGTTTAGGATGTGAAAGACCTTTTTGTGGGGCTTACTGGCCTGCTCAGGGAAATGTCCTACGTTATCCATGCAGCCTAGATAGTTTCAAACCGGTATTTGTTATCCTTCTAATGCTGTGGTGTCTGGTTTGCAAATTATATGTCTAAGTACCATTGCTTCTATACCTGTTTGTGGTATTTGCCATGTTTACTAATGATTAACTAGAACATTGTAAAACATCTGAATATAATTGTTTTTCACCATCGATTATTCAAATTGGAAAATCTTGTTGCATTTGGTGGCCTTTCAAAATGCTTGCCATAATTTCCATTTTTGTTTTTATCTTTTTGCAGATCTCAGATCGCTCCATCTCAATAATTCCACATTTGGCTCATCAAACTAATCAAGTTGAAAAGGATGTATGTATTTCCTTCCAGCTGTTGTATGTATCATTAGCATAGTGTTGCTTGTCAGAGTTAAATTCCTGATAGGAGACCGCATTATTTGTAGGTTACACAAAGGTGTATTAGACAGATGGGGAGAACGCTACCTGATGTTGTCTCAGAATGGATAGCAAAGTTGGACAACGGGGAAATTGGTAATGTCCATCGAGGCCTTTATCCATTTTGATTAATTTTTTTCCATTACATTTTAATGTTGGAAAACTGCTCATGTTTGACGTTGAATTTACTTCTGGGGTTTCTCAAGTAATGCCATAACTGTTTGTTGGATTGTTTTTACATTTACAACTGAAATCTTAGAACTTCAGGACTGATCCAACAAGGTGTCTTAGGTTTATTTTCTGGGAGGAGGAACTTGTGAGGTAGATTCTATTTTGCATCCCAGGCAAACAGGGTCCAAGAAAAAGCCATAACTATGTGCTGTTTGGTACTTAAGTAATAGCTAATAACTAAGTTAGTACATGGACTGAGAATCTATGGCTTGCCTGATTATTCAACTTATTTTGAACTGAGCTGCAAGTTTTGCAAATTTTTGTATAGATCGATCGAGGCTGCCTCTAAAGCATGCAGACAGTATTTCATCTAGTACACATGTATGCTGGTAAGTTGTCCAATTCTTACACTGCTAAGTTTGAAAACTGTATTCTTTGGGACACTATTCATGGTGCCATGCTGCTGCACGAATCTTCTAATATCTTCCACCGAGAAATTTTATCAGACTACATGTCCTGAAAACATATATAGATCGATAAAATAACTAGGCAATCTTATGAGTTCTGGATATTTTATCCTCTTTATCACTTGCTGTTTACATTATATAGAGAGAGCTCTGTAACTAATGTCAGAACCAAGATATGGGGTGCGTCTGGTAGCTCGGCTTTTGATTTGCTACTTCATGGTCTACTAAATAAGATTACACTTCAAATTATAAAAAAAAAAAAAAGATTACACTTCACGTTTTTGTTAATTTGTTTGACCTTTGATGCAGTGAGTGTTACGATAAGTTGGTGTCATTTCTCTTGTACTGGTTCCGCATTGCCACTCCCAAACACGTAAGCCTCTTTTGTTCGATCTACATTTCTTTCCAGGGATCTCCTCTGTTAATGAAATTCAAGTCTCTCATATAATGTTGTGCTCTTAATTTCAAAAAGTCTCAACTCTCACATTCCACTCGTGCGTTCTTTGGCGTGCATAGCACCTACCACCGGATGCTGCTAACCGGGCTGATTGTTGGTATGGCTACGAGTGCCGGACACAGCACCATAACGAACAGCATGCTCGTAGATTGAATCACGTCTGTCGTCCGACTAGGAGCTCCAGCAACAATTAAAGCAGTAGCAGACTAGCAGTGGGCCTGGTTCTAGACTGGGATGGTGGTGATGGTGATGGTGATGCTGCTGCCTTTTGGGTTTCCCCTGGCGGTTCTTGTCTGTATAGACCAGGGTTGAATGAAGCTAAATTATGATCTTATTATCGTACTATGTGCCGCGATGGTATGGTTGGTCTAGTGTTAGATTATGGATGATGAACATCGATGGTCATAGTTTGGTTCTCAGAACTTAGTTTGACGTATGTGTAATATGTGCCTCAGATCCTTCGATGGCATTGTCTACATGTAAATTGGCTACGAATGATGTGCCTTCTAAAGTGTTTGGAATGTTTTAGGTACATGAGTAATTAGAATTATTAATTGCCCAGTTTATAACAAATCCGAGCACTGTTCCTTACGAAATATTCGCGGTCACTGTTCATGGAAGGATTTTGAGATTTGCTGTGCGCAAATTTAGGTGAGACCAAGTTCTCCACTTTGGGCGAGGCATATCGACTCCTCTCCCCTTTTTTTCCCTTTTTTGCTTTTTATCATACCCTTCAGACCCAATCAATCGAGAAGGACGACCGGCGGCTGGCTAAGATGTTCGGCTGCCGATTCTCTTTCGGGGTTTGTGAGAAGCAGAATTGAGAAGAACGATGGTCATTGGATTCTCCTTTCTTTCCCATTCCTTTTCCACCCAAATTTATTCCGCGTTCCCTATGGCCACCTTGCTCCTGTTCTCCGGTTGGTAGCATGTATATTGATTTGCCAAGGCAAAAGTGAACCATGAGACTGATTGCAGGGCTCCGAGTCGATCTTTGAAGTGCCACCTTTGCCGGCTTTTGATGAATCCCACGAGTCAACGATCAATTTCTTCCCTGAAAATCCACTAAACTCGCAACGGATCTATGGAGCCGAACTTCTGTTGTGGAAAATTTAGAACAGCGAAAGACCAGGGTGAGATGGAATTTTATCGATTTCTTTTACTCTCTCTGCTCTACCTCATCCCAATTCCTTCCAACGCGATCTACACTCTGATTTCCCATGTGTCCAACATGCAAATCATTGTGTGTAAGTAAAGGGAACACTAATAATCTATAATATAAAAAAACCAAACAGCAATGTCATTTTGTTTCATGGCTATTTTGCTTTGAGTAGTAATTTTCCTCATCTACTAATCCATCTACTAATCTTATGTTATTTTGATACATGGAGGAAAATTAGTTTCTTAAACAATGAATCACAATCACGCTTTAAAATTTATGTTTTTGCGCTTCTAGGTCACCGACGCTTTTACATAAAAACTTAATTTTATAATTAATGTAGAACACGCTTTTAACCTTAAAAACTTACAATTTTACGTTTCTAAATCACCAAAATACTTATACGTAAAAATGCTTTTTTACTACATTGTTCTTAAATTCATTTTGGAACATGATCTTAATATGGCTATTCCGCATCAACATAGGTTCATGAGTTATAATTGGTATTCATAAATGTTGTCGGATTTGCAGAAAGAAACCATTTCATTCTCATTCATGTGCAACTATCAAGCTTTCTATGTACAAATGTTTGGCCATCTAAGTTTGATTGTTTCATCTTTTTAATTGGAAGATTATTTCACCGGATTAGTTGTTGTTTCATTGTATTTAGTATGAATAGTTTTTTTTTTCTTCTATCCCATTTTTTCTGTCTTCTAAAAATATATGTGGATTGGTTTGTGATGATTCTACCACTGAAAGATGTGGAATTGTCTTCAACGATCTGCTACGAATTCAATGTTCAAGTTGTATACTGCAAGTGTTGTAGTTTTTAATAATATCATTAAATCTATTTGAATGTATAGAAGAACAGCCAAGAGATGCAATTTAAATCTAATCGTTGTAGTTTTGTTTGGATATATGATCTCATTTTAGTGTAAAATGAGACTTACCTTGCTTTATTACAAAAGTTATAATCAACTCTAATTGTTCAGGGTAAAAGAAACTTAATAATTATCAGGGATCGTCGCTCTGTAACCGCCTCTGTGCGACTTCGCTGCCGATTCCCTTCTCCGTCTTGGTGGTGGGATTTCGTCTGGCGCTTTAATCGCCCTGAAACATCTCCTCCATGGTCTGTTCATCTCTCATGGCCTTGGTGGAGCATTTGGGTGATGCGAACATGGTTCCGGCTGTCCAACAGGAGAGCTGTCTCTCTTAGGGAATTGGCCAATTCTGGCGCTTCATCGGCGACGGTCGATTTCGGATCTCCATGGAACTCAACTGCTCGTCGGTAAATGGGGTTGCGGTTACGGGGATTCTAAAGGAGTGGCGGTCTGGGCTCCTACGGCGATTCTTTCCGGCAAGGTTGCTGCGGGTTTTTTTGCAGTTACAACTCTCGACAGGCACGTTTTTATTTTCCAAAATTTTTATTTCTTTATTTCTTCTCATATTTTTTAATGGTAAGCAAAAAAATGTTGTGGAGCCTTAAATAGTGGCTAATCTATGGTGTGTTTTTGTGGTGATTCCCAATTGGTCATACGACGAGCAATGGAGAATGATGTCAATAATGATCGAGGTGGCGTAGTGCTTGAAGAAGTGCGAGGTTGAAGACCTTTTTTGCATTTTTTTTTGTTTTTGTTCTTCGTAGTACTAACAGGGCTGCCCATTGCGTGGCATAAACTGGCCCTTGCATCGGTAGCAACTAAGCTTGGCAATTATACCCATACCCATGGGTTTATAACTATCCAACCCATTTGGGTTGGGTCTGAAATCCAATTAAAGGTTAAATGGATAAAGTCAGATGGGTCAATACCCATACCCATTATGTTGGGTTTACTTGGGTTTTACCCATGAACTTGGGTTAAAAAATCCAAACCCAAATAATTAAAAAAAAAAACGAAACTAAAAAAAAATTAAAGACAATCGAAGACTCATCTCACCCATCTTCCTCTCGCACAGTCGACGACTCTTCCTCTCTAGTCTCTACCCATCTTCGTCGACGACGAGCCGGCTGAGCCACGACGTCGCCGCCCCGGCCACCAGCTCGACGTCACCGCCCCGGCCACCAGCTCGACGTCGCCGCCCCGCCTCCGATCTCGGCTCCGACCACTGAATCGCATCGCTGCCCCGATTTCGTCGCCGCCCCGGCCACTGCCACTAGCTCCGACGTCGCCGCCGCTTCGAGTTCCTCCATTCATCGTCCCCCAAACCCTTCCCAGGTAATTGACTGATTGGGTTTTGGTAATTGAGATTTAAAGTCCTCTCGTTCCTCTTATCTAGTATATCGTAGTACCTCTGTGAAAAGGGCTTCCATTCCATGGATTTACAGAGCCCCGCTATAGCTGATTCCGTTGACTCCCGCTATAGCCGCTCCACCGTTCGCCTTGGTGAGCTTAGCAGCAGCTGTTTCGTCCACCACATCAAACAAGCCTGGATCTAAGTCCCTGTCCAATCGGATTCTCCTTCTCGCTGCTCTCTCTGAGGTATGGAGGATTTTTCTGGGCTCTTGTTTAGTTCTGATTTGTTCAGCTAGCTACTTTGTTTCTCTGTTTGAATGCTTGGGGAGATATTGGTAGTAGAAATGAACGAGGAGCATCCAAGAGATCATCTGTTCGATGCTATCACTTTCATTTCCAGTGGTTAGATTTGGTGATCTGCCACTTAGATTGGAGGAAACAGATTAGAGATTTTCGCCTGTATTAGTCATGCTTGGTGGACAACTTGTTGAATAGTGTTGATTCGCGAACCGTGTTTGAGCTGGGAGAACCCATTGAACTTTCTGTTTGTGTTACTGAATTTGGTGGTTCTTCTTCCACTCTAGCTTTGTGTCAATCACATTGATGCAAACCACTCCAGGAGTTTGATTTGCGTGCTGTGTCTTGGGGGAATTATCAGCATCTTAGGCCTTCTAGGACACGTTCAATGGATTTTTTTTTTATGGATGGAACGAATTTTAACTTCATTCATTACATGCTTGGTGCATTGAAAACACTTGGACTTGATGTGGAGCATAACAGTGAACTGAAGCGTGCCATTGTTAAAGGCTGTGGTGGTGTTTTTCCTGTAGCATAACACTTGGTTGAATAATTGTGTATTGTTGTCTCTGTTTGAACTGGCTGTGGAGGCTCTTATGTGCACCCAGAACTGGCTTAGGAATGAACTTCAGGGTAAGAAACAACTTGTTGTTGCTGTTATTCATTATTGGATGATTTTCATTGTTATATGTTGGTTTCCTGGTTTGGTGCATTATTTACTAGCTACTAGCTTTCTACTTGATGATTGAGTATGTTATTCATTATTTTGCAGGTGTAGCCATTTTCTCTCCTGATGTTGATGGTTCGACTCAAACCATATTCTGTGAGAATGATGGCGGTGATGATGAACAAGTTATGGAATATGAGGACTGAGAAAGAATCTGGGAGTTTGTTTGATTTGATTATGTAGTGAAGTTATGTTCAAAACTCAAAACAAAGTATCTCATTTCTGTTGTTGGGTTCCTCTGTAATACTCTTCTTGCGGTAGTGTGTGTTCCTCTGTAATACCCTTCCCTTATAAACTAGCTTTGAAAGAGTTGTAAGCACAGTGTTGGATTCAATGGTTTGAAATGGTTGATAGTTTCAGATGCCCTTTGGGGTGAATTGTAAGCACAGTGTTGTAATGCCCTTTGGGCGCTACTCACTTGGCAGATGAGAAATATGGAAGTGTTTCTGTGGTTCTCTGTTTCTGGTCCTTTGCCACAAGGTTGAGAAACCTCCAGCTCCCCCAAACTGCTCACGTTTATAAACTAAACCAGACCCTTCTGTTTTCTCCATCTATTTCCACCCCCCTTCTGTTTCCCTGTCCAATTTCTCTGCGAACCCAGTTCGCTTTACTAAGAATGAAGACTACAGGCAGCCATAATCTCTCCAGTTCATATCACTCCACTCCTCTGCCCTATAAATTCCAGCTTCCAAACTTCATCATGAACTACACAAACCCTCTATTCCCATATCACTTGCAAAAATACCCACCAAAAATGTCGACCCCCAAAGTCACCCTGAAGCTCCTGATCAACAAGAAAACAAAGAAAGTGCTGTTTGCTGAAGCAGGGAAAGACTTCGTCGATTTCCTCTTCACCCTCCTTTCCTTCCCGCTGGGAACCGTGATTAAGCTCCTATCAAAGAACAAAATGGTGGGCAGCCTTGGGTTGCTCTGTGCCTTGATGGGTGCCAACTTCTCTTCGATTTTCATGGATCCGGCGACGACTTGCTCTCTGTTCGGCGCATTTTCCCCTCCAATCCAACAGCCGCCGCGGAGGCCGACCCTGGGCGACTTGCCGGAGAGCTGTGTGGCGCCGATTCTCGCTAATTTGGATCCCGTCGAGATTTGCAAACTGGCGACGCTCAACAGGGCGTGTCGCGGCGCGTCTTGGGCTGATTTCGTGTGGGAGTCCAAGTTGCCGGAGAATTATCGGGACCTTATGGAGAGAGTGTTGGGCGTTGACAACGCCGATGGGGCTCGTCGGGTGGGAGACCGGACTGGACCCAATTGCTGATGGTACCCGAGGATCCATCACCACCACCGGAGATCCGAATCGACCGGCGTCCGAACCCGGATCGGAGGCAGCAAGTTCGTCGAAGCCGCCGCCGACGAAGATATGGAAGCGGGGAATGGAACACGATGGTCGCTGTTGCTGACAGCAAAATTACACTTTAGTACCTAAAGTTTTTAAGAAGATACAAATAGGTCCAGCATCATATGTGGAAAATTACATTTTAATACATTAAAGATTTCTCTTTACATTTTAACACCTAATAAAAAAAACATATACAGGCAGGTCCAAGGAGATGGGTACCCAAGCCCAATCCATACCCAAAAATAAAATCCAAACCCAACTCCACCTACCCAAATCTTACCCAAATCCATATATAATAAATCCATACCCAACCCATATAAATGGGTATAATTGGGTTTGGGCAAAAATACCCATGGGTGGGTAAACTGCCATCCCTAGTAGCAACCCATTTGGTTGACTACCGCTTTTTCATTTTCATCGCATTGTAATACCCTATCTATTACGATCTATCTATGACAAAAAAAAAAACTCTAATTATTTGATGCATCTTTCAGTAACCCGCCGCAGAGCGCGGGCTAATCGTCTAGTAATTATAATAATGTCATCATCGTGGTGTTTACGCATACAACACCCGTCATGCTTAATAATGGTTCCTGCTTCATTTGTTCTCATTTTACTTGAAAGGATTGGCCCCATGTTTAAATGGAACCATGCTTCTTCTTATAGAGACGGTTAAACAAACTCCATACCATTGATTGTAGCGGATCGACTCCTTTTAGAATTATCCAGAATAGCTTACATAATGTCTCCATGACAGCATTCATTTGCGCTCTAGAACACCTACTTTTCACACTACTTTCCTCTGCAACTGTGGCGGACGTCGGAGACAAAACCCACTGCTATTATTGGGGATCATGGAGTACTCTGTTAGAACAGAGGCGAACAGGGGAGCCTCTGTTTCCAGAGAGACAAAACCCAGAGATCGCGGAAGCAGATGAATTGTTTTGTTTCCGGCGAGTAGTTAAATCAATTGTCCACTGTTCATCATCGGATTAGGGAATTAGTGTTGGCCGGGGAAGGAAGGGTGAACGAGGACTCGGAGGATTTCTCTTCCGATCTGGCGCTCCTTGTGGGTAATAAGGGAAAGAGCGGATAATTAAGGGATTGTGGCTGAGGAGGCGCGGGGAACTCCGGCGGCGGTTTGCGAGGTTGAAGAAAATCCCTTACCCGACGACCGACATCATCACCAGCCGCTGCCGCTTCAGCAGGAGGAAGAGGAGTACGCCAGAGGGTAATCGGCGGGAGAACGAGCGATCGATCGGCGGAAACCAGCGCGAAAAGTGGAAAATACGGGAGCTCGAAACGTCGAAACGCGAAACGTTTCGGGTCCTCAAAACCAAAATCGAAACGCGATAAATTGACGAGAAATTGAAATTGACGATATACGATATATAGTAAAATAGCGTGATATTTTCACGATATATTGACTTTTTGAAGATATATTGACTCTGACTTTAACTGCCCTCTTGTTGTAGCAACGAACAGGGAGGAAATGACCGGGAAAAAAACAGAGAAATAAGCAGAGTTCGTCGCCGGTGACGGTGAGCAACCAAAGGCAGATAAAGAGGAATTGAGAAGGGAGAGAGGTTGGAGAGAGAAAGAGAAACAATTTCCGGCATGGCATCTGGTGTTAAAACAACGAACACTGGAGCCATTTCTGCTCCGGCATAGAGATAATGAGTAATGACTAGTGAGGACTTATACGAGGCAATCATATAAAGTTAGGTGATGAAAATTGATAATTTTCCCTCCGTTCAAGTTTCTACTCAAGTCTCCTTATCCTTTTTATATGTGTCTTCCCTTCCGCCATAACCACAGAGACGGAGGGTTTAAGGGACTTTCTCAAGGGTTTTGACGAACTCAAGTTAAAGAAGCAAGAGGCGACAACAACGAGAGCAAAAGCGCAGCAGGTCCATAACCAAACGGTAATCCTTTCTCCTTCCTAAATTTCCCTTTTCCCCATCATTTCTCTGCTCCTATGTCCTGTTTAAGTTCCATACTTTTTCAAGAAACAAGGTGATGCAATGGTGGAGAAATCTTCTCCTTCTCATTATCTTTTCTTCCGCCATTTCTTTGCTTCCCTGTCTTTTACTTGTTGAAGTTCGTAGCTTTAATAGATTGGCAGTCTCGTTCCTACCATATAAGCTGATGAATGAATTTGAGAATTTTATTTACTTATTTGTTACTGTAGTGGCGACAAATTGAAAGCACATGGGTTATCAGGCTTTGACAATCCACAATTGGTCCTCGCTGGTACAAGCTCAACGATTTGGTGATTCTGAATTGGGACTTAGCAAGTTCGCTGCTTCTACTTCTCCTTTTTGTTTCACTGCCCAATTCTTGAAGGTTTGTGTTGCATTTCATATTCGGCTATTGCCGTTGATGATTGCATAAGTTCGCACAAATTCCATTATCCGTCTTGCAATCATGGTGAAAAATGATATGTTGCAGGTCCGTCTTCGCTGTGTTGATAGAGTAAGAGCTTCTAAACCAGTTGAAAGCCTTAATTCAGGTGGTGGAAAGAAAAGGAAAGGTGCAGAATGCAGCCATAGTGATGACGATGATGATGAAGATGATGATGATTCGACCAGAAGAGCTAAGGCGAACGACCCTTATGCTATGAATCCTGAAGAGAGACGTGAATGGAGGAAGAAAATTAGGGAAGTTCTAGCCAAGCATCCTGATAAAGAGCTACAGTTTGATGCTGAAGAGAAGAAGGCGAAGATGGAGAAGCTTTTGGCTGATTATCCCCTCGTTGTGGACGAAGAGGATCCTGATTGGCCTGAAGATGCTGATGGATGGGGGTTTAGTTTGGGTCAGTTCTTCAACAAGATCTCAATCAAGAATGTCAAGAAGGATAATGATGATGATGAGAAGTATGATAGTGATAACGAGATAGTGTGGCAAGATGATGATTATATTCGTCCAATCAAGGACATTACCACTGCAGAATGGGAGGAGACTCTATTCAAAGATATCAGCCCCTTGATTGTGCTAGTTCATAATCGGTATAAAAGGTCAGTTTTTTTTACGCATGTTATGTTTGCTGTTTATTTTATTCAAGTGTTTCAAATGACTTTTTTGTTGTGGCTTAAATGCCTAAATGGTAACTTTTGTAAAAACAGGTTCAATAAATTTATAATCATACCAAAAATCCTGACGAAACTATGTGTGTCACTTGTTCTTATTTCTTCTAATTTGTATTGAGAATGAGTTGGATTTTGAGTTCGTGTGTTAATGGTTCGGGAGTCGGTTCTTTTAGTTGGGACTCTGTTGGAAAGGATTGGGTCTAGTTGATGCATAGGATGTTGATCGGTCAAGTTTGATGTCGTTGTGAGCCTATCTGACATGTTGGTTCAATCCTAAAGCCAAAGTAGACAGGATAGCCATTTTTTTTACAAACCCTTCAGTTCACTTAACATTCTGTTATAAACCCCTCACTGTTCAGTGACCATCTAGGCATTTAATCCTGTATTTGACTTCTTGTCCTCAATGCAAACTTCTTTCACAGGCCAAAGGAGAACGAGAGAATTCGAGTTGAGTTGGAGAAAGCTGTGCATATCATATGGAACTGTGGGTTGCCCTCCCCAAGAGTAAGTTGACATAACTGGTTTCTCCATTCAAATACTTTTGTGTGGGAAGCATTGTCACTGAACGTTAAGCTTTATTTTTGGGACAGTGTGTTGCAGTTGATGCTGTTGTTGAGACTGATTTAGTTTCTGCTCTTAAAGTTTCTGAATTCCCAGAAATTATGTTTACGAAGGCAGGCAAGGTCTTATACCGTGAGAAAGGTAAATTCATCTTCTCATGAGATCACAGTTTGGTCCTCTAGTGCAACATGAGTTCGTGACTTTTCTCTTTGAATTCAGCGATACGAACAGCTGATGAGTTCTCGAAGATAATGGCCTATTTCTATTATGGAGCAGCCAAGCCACCTTGCTTAGATAAGATTGGTGATTGCCAGGAAATGATCACAACTGTAAAAGTCAATGACAATCAGTGATGCAATATCTGTTGTTGCTACATATTGCTAAGGTTAGTCAATGTTAGAAACCGATTTATGTAGGGTTTCTTTATTTATTAATATAATTATTATTAGGATAATTATCAATAAGGTTAGTAGTTATTTAGTAGGATTAGGTTTATTATTAGGGTTTCCTAGTGTTCCCTATAAATATGTACTTTGAGTCTACGTTACGATCAGTCAAGAAAGAATTATTAAAGAATCTCCCAAACCCTAATCTCCCTATCTTCCCAATTCTCGATCTCAATCCCTCTAAAGGTCTAGGCCGATTCCCTTCTGTTCTTCCCCAATTCTTTCCCAAATCCCTAATTCTATCTTCTCAATCCCTAAATTCCCAAATATCACCAATCCAAATCCCGTTAGAAACTTTGTTTCTAACATCTGGTATCAGAGCCCGGTTACGATCGGTGAGTTCTTATCAACTCCATCAGGGACAGCTGAGAAACCGGAGCATCGACATGGAAAAATCAGAGCAGTCATGGGCTCAGTTGCGAGAGGAGTTATGACAAATCGCGAACTCCTGGAAGAGGGAGCCGGCGCGAGGCGCCGCGGCAGAGAAGGAGGGCGAGAACGCCGGGGGAGCGCGGCTGGCGGCGCAGGAGATATTACAAGTCACCTCGCCTCGGCAACCCAAGCCATCAACCACCACCGTGGCGGCTTCACCACCACCAGCATCGGCGGAAATCACCACCGTTACCCAGCTACACGCGTCGATTCAGAAGAAGAAGGCAGCAAAGGCTAACCAGCCTCCAAAGTCAACCGCTGTCGTCCCAACTCAAGTCGACTTTGCGGAATCAGTCTCTCCGTCCGCAATCAGCGCCAACAATCTCGAAAGCCACCGAGAGGGAGGAGTTTGGACCAGCCCTGTGGCAAGGACGATTTTTAGGTCAACTCCAACTCCGCCAATTCCAATTGACGGAGGGAAATTCCGGAAGGAGAAGCAACCGCCAGGAGAAGGCCGGGAACCAGAGAACGAGATGGAGCCGGGGGCGAAGGTCGAGGTGAAGAGGCCTGAATCGAGCTGGGATCATCACCTGGAGGGTTGTTCGCCACCGAAGGAGAAAACGTCAAAGATGACGAGGGGAGCAGGCAGATCTCTCCGCCGGAGGATCTGGGTGCCAACGAGGGACGGCGACTGCTCTGTCCCCGGCGATCTAACCGCCGTCGACGAGACCGTGCCGGGGAAGAGGACTGGCGGGTCGGAATTGCATCCCAGCCGCTTGACGAGTCCATCGACGGAGAACGAGGCAAAGAGGAAGAAGGGCGGCGGTGATTTCTCTGCCTCCTGCTGCCTTTCCACCGATGAGGAGGAAGAGCCGATAGCGATGATCGCCGGGACGAGCTTGCTTCTTAGTCGTCGGCTGGGCGAGATGCCGTTGGAGAGGAAGCTGTCGGAGATGAAAAAGGAGAGAGGCGGTGTTGAGCCTCCTCGCTTGTCGCCAGAGGTGGAGAGGAAGGAGTCATCGAGGGAGAACCAGACGTTGCCGGAGTTGGGGTTGAGGGCGACGGCGGAAGCTGGGCCGCCTCGTAACCGCAGCTTGGTGGTCTGCTGGGCGCCGGAGAAAGGAAAGAAGATGGCCGCTGGCGACGGGAGCGGAGCAGGCGCAGCGGCGCGGGCCGAGGCGCCGAGTGGGCGGCGCATCTCGCCGAACGTCGCGGAGGAGGTCGCGGCGCTGACCGAGACGGAGCAGATGACGATGATGGCCGGGGTGAGTTGGTCTTTCCGTCGCCTGAAGAGAATATCGCCGCCGGGAAAGGAAGAATTGGCGACGGAGGAGAAGATGAATCTGGCGGCGGGTGGCTGGAGTAGGGGAGGCGCTCTCCCTCTCGCAAACCCTAGGGTGCCATCCTTGGGTCGGGTAGTGCAGCAGCTGAACTCGTTGGGCTGGGCATGTTGTGAGGCGCCGCTAGTAAGGATGGGCCGACTTGGGCTCGTAAGAGGCTGGCGGGGCCCATGGTGCGAGTTGAGGGCAGAGCAGCAGAGCGGGCCGAAGGTGAAAGTGATTTGGGCCGAATGTTGGCCAAAAGAGTGGGGCCTGCTGTGGGTCGGAAAGGTCAGGAGGGCAGGCCAAGATTTGGGATCAGTTGGGCCGATCAGATAAGCAAAATGGACCGAAATCAGAATCTCCATGGGCTGAACAGGGATTAAGTAATAGGCCTAGTCATGGAAGGCCTAGTGGGCCTCGAGGAGATGATGGGCTGTGTCATGAAAGGTCTGGGATTCAAATGGGTTGTTTAGTTGAATCTCTAGTATATGGTGTGGGCTTGGAAGGAGAGAATGATGAACATGTGGGCTTGGTAAATGAGCTCTCAAGGAAGCATAAACCATCAGTATTTAAAGAAGCAACAAACCAAGGTTATGGGTCAGCTCCAACAAAGAAGTTCGAAGGCCTTGATGAGCTTGTACATAATGATGGGTTCTTACACAAGAAAGTACTTTTTGATTCAATAAGTTGCTGGAGCGCGATGCTAAAAGAGGAATTATTGAAGTTTGAATACTTCGAGGACGCGAGGATTGGGCCATCAGAATTGAAGCTTACAACTTTGCAGCGGCATCAGAAGGTCGAAGAAGAAAGGCCAAATCAAGGAGTTGAGCATGATTGGAAGAAAAGAAAGCGCAGGAAGGATCCGGATTACACAGAGAACGTGGCAGAGTGGGTCAAGTCGGTCAACCTTGAGGGCAAGGTTGGTCTGAAGGGGGAGGGGATGTTAGAAACCGATTTATGTAGGGTTTCTTTATTATTAATATAATTATTATTAGGATAATTATCAATAAGGTTAGTAGTTATTTAGTAGGATTAGGTTTATTATTAGGGTTTCCTAGTGTTCCCTATAAATATGTACTTTGAGTCTACGTTACGATCAGTCAAGAAAGAATTATTAAAGAATCTCCCAAACCCTAATCTCCCTATCTTCCCAATTCTCGATCTCAATCCCTCTAAAGGTCTAGGCCGATTCCCTTCTGTTCTTCCCCAATTCTTTCCCAAATCCCTAATTCTATCTTCTCAATCCCTAAATTCCCAAATATCACCCAATCCAAATCCCGTTAGAAACTTTGTTTCTAACAGTCAACTTCCTGATCTCTATTTAACATGCTTATCATACATAGTGTTGATTATCGAGTCATTTGGATGCTACTAGATGTTAGATTCTGAATTTGTTTGAACATCTAGATTCCTTTGAGAACTTGTGCAGAAGATTTAGCTAAGCATGGTCAAAATTACTGTAGTAAGTTCCATGAGAGTTTCTTTAAGGTTTGATATCTTTCAATATGTAGCTCAGTTTATTGCAAGGATTACTCGGTCATGGAAGTGCTAGAGCGAAAGGACAAAGAATGGATACTCACCTTATGTAAACTTTCCGTATATTGTACCTATAAGATATGATCCATATGTGTGTAACTTATTGTCAAGTTATACAGGAAATCAATTATTGAAGACACCACAACTACAGAAAGCTTTATGGTAATGGAATCTGAAGGCAAAGAGCTGCTTCGTGTTCGAGCCATCAAACTTGCAGTTAGCTACACCTACAATCCTTTCTCTCCATGTCCTCCCAGAACTGTAAGGCATTTCCCACTGCTACTAGATAACCAGAATCTGTAGCCTCTGTGCTTTACTTTCTCTGGTGGATTGATAGATTTCCAGTCAGCTTCTGCTAAGCTTTCCAGTGACTTTAACGATCGAAGAGCCACCTTGCCAACCTTGTTAACAGTTAGATAACTCTGTTCACCAGAGCATTTGTCCATGTAGTTGCTGAACCTGTGAAAAAGAATTACAGTAGCCAATAGCATCATCATCTGCTTTTACATTGGGATAAATTACATCCTGTGTGATTTGAATTAGGTGATTTCTTCCTTCATGCTTTGAAAGTAAATGTTGCAAGCACCTGAGGTTGATGAAAACATAATAAAAGGTGGTGTGTTCCTTTTCATTGATCTCGGTGTCTGGAGCATTACTTCTTATGATAAAATGTGAAGCAGATAACCTATTCAGTGACTTGGTATGTACCTCTTTTTTTACATGATCCACGTATCTACACAGTATTCAAACCTTGGGAGCTTGGATTGTCCCGAAATTGCTGTTCACTTGCCTTGTCATTTTGGATTTCATTAGGCCTTTGTGAGTCTTTCCTCGTTTGTTTTTCCCTCTTCTTGCTTCTTTGATGTGAACGATGTGCCATGCTTACCTATACATGCTGCAACTTTTGGGTCTTGATTCCGTCATAACGTTGGTTTTTAAGCTGATGGATGAAACTTATAGGTGAACCAATGTGATTCGGCTGATCGAAGATGAAAGAAAGTTGGCAACTTCGTTGCCATTTAGCTTTGGATTCCCTTGTGAAAAGTTTGATAGGTTCGGCTTTAGCATCTTTCTTGCATATTTTGTTACTCATCATCTGTATTATCATTGTTGAACTGCAGACCACTGCATATACTAGTTTGTGAAAGGATTGTGCATGCATAGCAATTAATTTCCTATATGATAAAACCGATTATGTAAACACCAAATAATTTGAGTTGTTGATTTTATATACTGTTTTAATTATTTAATGATAGCATCTCCAAATAGACATGCAACATCGAGTATTAGAAATCCATATAAAAAATACAAGGAAAAAAGAAAAATAATTAAGATGGAACTTAAAAAGAAAACAAAAGAATAAAAATCTTTTCCTCCATTTTTTCCCTATGTACTTTCCCCCCCCCCCCCCCCCCCCCCCCCCCCCCCCCCCCCCCCCCCCCCCCCCCCCCCCCCCCCCCCCCCCCCCCCCCCCCCCCCCCCCCCCCCCCCCCCCCCCCCCCCCCCCCCCCCCCCCCCCCCCCCCCCCCCCCCCCCCCCCCCCCCCCCCCCCCCCCCCCCCCCCCCCCCCCCCCCCCCCCCCCCCCCCCCCCCCCCCCCCCCCCCCCCCCCCCCCCCCCCCCCCCCCCCCCCCCCCCCCCCTTTTCTTCTTCTTACCACTGTCTGACTGAATCAAGTTCATCTTGTTGCTGTAATTGTTTGGGAATTGAAGTAGGAGGGGAGAAAGTTATGGAGTATGTTTGATCTGTAAAAGAAGGTGGTTGCGACATAAGACTCATGGAAGAATATACATTGTTATTGTTATTAATATTGTACGTCGACTGATGAATATTTTGTTGCTGCACTACTTCACCATCAAGATGGTGAAGTACTTGATGATGGTGATGCAGTTGCGGTACTTGATGTTGCAGTTGTTGCTGCTGTTGTTGCGGCAATCTCGGGTCGACTCTCTGTTGTTTCGGCAGGTTTAGTTTCTCGCCCTCGATCTCTCTGTACTTGTTGAGGTACGATTTGAGGGGCGCCACGTAATCTTCGAACCCTAGCGTCGTGATGGCCCATATGATGTCGTCGCCGTTGATCGTTTTCCTCTTCTCCCTCTGACACTTATCGGAGGCTTCTCCGGTCACAAAGCTGATGAACTCCGACACGCATTCTTGGACGGTCTCCTTGGCGTCTTTGGAGATCTTCCCGTTCCCCGGTATCACCTTCTTCATGATCCTGCCCACGTTGGCAATGGGTAGGAAGCGATCTTGCTCCTTGTTGTTGCTGCTGCTGCTTATATGATGATGAGGAGTCGGTGTTGTCGTTGTAGTAGGAATATTAATGGTGACGGGTGTAGTACTTGAACAACCGCCGCTATTGATGTTGTGTTCGATTTTGATACGCTTTAGCGACGTACTACTGTTGTCGTTAATATCACCACCTTCTGAACTCTCTCTAGTCGTCGTCGGATAGTTACTTCTGCCATTTCCATGGCTCTCATCTTCCATATCTCTCTTCCTTTGTTACAAAAAGCTTTTCGTTTCAAAAGGTTGAGAGATGGGTGTTTCTTTTTTGGGTGTTTTTTTACTGTTTTACTTTTTTTGTTTTGTTTTGTTTTGTTTAGTTTGATTAGGAGGAAAGTTTATGGCTACGAGATAACTAGAGAGAACGTGCGGTAAAAATAGGGGAAGTGTGGAAGACATTGGCTCATTTTAACCCCTTTGTTAGGGTTCCCTAGGACTCGTTCTTCTCATAGACAGTGAAAAAGGAAAACAAACCTTAACTGTCATAACCTAATCTAAGCCAACTCTGTTCAACATGAATTCCTTATTGACAAGGTTTTAATTTGATTATGTTGTGTTTTGGTGTTTTGTGTCTTTTAGTTTCTTTTACCTTTTTTTCTTGTCGGAATATTAAAATAGTATTTTTAATTTTTAGTCCTATTTATGGATTGAATGTAAATGCAAATATCTAGGTTTGTGGTGCTCGAGCGTCTTGTCGATAATTTTTTTAAAGTTTATTGAGTTATGAGAAGAAAATCTCGAAATACTATATAAATTATTGACAAAAAAAATATAGAATTAGAGAGGTAAGGAAGATGATAAACAGAAAAATCATTCATGAGATAGAATTAGTCAATTATTTTATAATTTTAGGAACCAAGCGTGATAGTCGATCAATAGACAAACTATCAACGAGAAGACAATTTTTGTCACAAAATTGGCAATTTTGTCAAAAAGAAGATGGGCAAAGATACAAAGAATAAAGTGAAAGAAGAACTTAGTTGTCGCACATCCTCTAATAAAGCTCCACTGACGTAATGTGTGAATTCTTTGGCCGTCATTAATTAGTAAACGAGATGCATAGCTAGCATGTATGATATGGTTGAACGATGCTAAGCATTTTAGTCTATCCAACCATCCAAAAATTCTTCTGAAGGGCCTGCCTTTGGTTTTGTGTTTAAAATCGATCATAAGTTGGTCGTATTTGGTAGAATATTAGTTATTTTTGATTTATGTGTCATCTTGTACCAATTTTTTTTTTATAATTTTTAAACTTAACATTCAATGTAAAAAGCACACATATCATAAAATTTTTGGTACAAAGATGACACGCATGAATAGCACACCCAAAATTAATTAATTAATTAATGACGTGCCTTTTATTAGTTCAAATCGTTAGGCCTATAATTTGTAAACCCAACGCCGTCACAAAGCCCGAGCTTGACGGGCTAGAGATTCAGCAATGACAGTAGAGTAAAAATACACAGAAAAATTAGATGTCGTCGCCGCCAAATTCCCTTCCTCCATCCGCTCCAGATCCAGAGCCTCTCTCCGCCGTCGATGAGAATGCCCCCGACGCCGCAACCACCGCCGGCGATTCGCCGCCACAGGAGCTCATCTGCTCCACCACCACCACCGCCACCACGACGTCCTCATCATCCTCCTCCCCATCCGATCGAGCCGAAGATCATCCGCCGTCGGACATCCCCATCTCCTGGCCGCCCGAAGGACAGCTGTCGTCGGAGTGGGTCCACCGCCTGATTTCGGCCTTCGACTGGTCCTCCCGCCACGTGGCTCCGTCGCGGTTCGAATCCGTGCTCCCCGTCCCGGTCTTCGACGCCCTGGTGCTGGCCGCGTCGAAGCTCCTCCACAAGGAGCCGAATTGCGTCTCGATCGGGGATTTGAGTCCCGATTCCGCCGTCGTCGTGGTCGGGGACGTCCACGGCCAGCTCCACGACGTGCTGCTCCTGTTCAGGGAAGCTGGTTTCCCTAGCGAGAATCGTTACTTCGTGTTCAATGGGGACTATGTTGATCGAGGGGCTTGGGGGCTCGAGACTTTCTTGGTCCTGCTGGCGTGGAAGGTACTTCCTTTACTGAATTCTGCTGATCTTAAGTAAGAATCAGTGATAGAGAGATCTTTGTAGTAGGGAATGAATGCAGAGAAAATGGTACTTGAACTCGTTGCTAACTGTTTTGGTGTGTTGAAAAGAGCTAGAATTTGGATTGTCTGTACTGTAATTGTTGATTCATCCGTTGGGCCATTCGTGGATCTTGTAGCTTTCCATTCATTTCGTCAATGTTCAGATGCTGCTCCAAAATAAGAATTGGAGATGAATGTTACTGAGTTGTGAACAATGCTGGAAGTTTGGTATAGATAAATGATAGATCTTTGTGGTGGGAAATGTGTACAAAAAAAAAAAAAAATGGTACCTGAAGTAGTTTCGAACTGTTTTGGTGTGTTGGACAGGGCTAGACATTTGGTTGACTTGATGTGTTGTTCTTGATTCATCGAGTTTGACAGTTGTCAATTTGTTTGCTTTCTTTTCCTGTTTATTGAGTTACAAGGAATTGGATGGCTTCTTCTTTCTCTAAGTAAGAATCAATCTTGAAATTATTGATCATTGATGAAAGTTTGGCTAACAGGAAAAAAGGGTACTTTGAAACGATTTCCAACTGTCTCAGTTTGCTGGAAAGGGCTATAATTCCGACCGAGTTGACTATTATTCTCGTTTCGTCTGTTTGGCCAGTCTTCGAGTTGTTAGCTTTCCTATCAGGTCTATTGAGTTTTCCAATTTCACGAAACATGCATTTATGACAAGATCGAGTAGGCTTAATTCCTACTTTCATGGCGATTTAATAAACAATAAGGTGACTCTTCTTTAGGTTTTTATGCCGCACAGGGTGTTTCTCTTACGTGGGAACCACGAATCAAAGTACTGTACATCGGTGTACGGTTTCGAAAAGGAAGTACTAGCAAAGTATGGGGATAAAGGCAAACATGCCTACCGGAAGTGTTTGGGATGCTTCGAAGGGCTTCCTTTGGCTTCCATTATTGCTGGGCGTGTGTACACTGCTCACGGGGGACTATTCAGAAGCAACCCTGTTACACCCACCCCGCCCAAGAGATCAAAACGAAAGAAGAACCGGAAAGTAAACCTACATCAGGAGACTAATATGTTAGCTCTTGGTTCTTTAGATGAGTTGGCCAAAGCTCGAAGGTCAGTTCTTGATCCTCCATGGGAAGGCCAGAACTTGATCCCTGGTGACGTGTTATGGTCAGACCCAACGATGAAACCGGGGCTCTCACCAAATAAAGAAAGAGGGATCGGCTTGCTTTGGGGGCCTGATTGTACGAAAGCTTTTTAAAGAGGTTTCAGTTAAAGGTTTGTTGTAGTTTTTCACTCAAGCTTAATCTCTGTTAGCTATCTTCGTTTCTTCTTACTGATTTTGTGCTTTCGTTTGTCTTAGCTAATCATCAGATCACATGAAGGTCCTGATGCTAGAGAAAAGAGGCCCGGTCTTGGCAAAATGGACGAGGGATATACCATTGATCATGTTACAGAGTCTGGGAAACTTATTACTTTGTTTAGTGCTCCAGACTACCCACAGTTTCAGGTCATTCTTAATTCTTAATCCGTGTGTTTTCTGTTGTCGGTTTCAAGCTAATGCACACCTTAACCTGCAAGAGAAATGTTTAATGCTGACCATGCAGGCAACGGAGGAGAGATACAAGAACAAAGGGGCCTATATCGTTCTGAAACCACCTAATTTTGATGAACCCGAGTTCCATAGCTTTGATGCAGTAACTCCTAGACCGCAGGTACTTCCTCATTGCGTGAGCTAATGGCAGTGGATAACGTTTGCATGAATGGAAACCCATAGATCACGGATCTAGATATAGAGAATTCTAAGGCTTTTTTGTCAATGCAGGTGAATCCATATTATGACTTCGAAGATGTGATAGACTCTGATGAAGATCTCGACTTGGCTTCAATGGCAAACAATGATTAACGCAAAGACCTGTCGTGTGCGAAACCAAATCCAGTTCATCACCTGCTGTTTTGCTAGCTCCTCCAATGCTTCTCGATGTTTTTGTACAATCATAATTTATGAACTAAACCTATTCTCTCCCCAGCACGGGAAGCTGGCATCTTCTTGTTGTTACCTCTTCAGTTTCCCTTTAATTTGGCAGCTCAGAATACCATCATGTGTACACTTCCTGGTATTTAAGGTTTTTTCTTTTTTAGCTAAGTTCTGGAATTGCTGCTGTCCTGATTATTTTTGTGGAATTTCGCCTTAATGGTGCCTTTGTTGTTTTTACAGCCCATTTTCCTTCATGTCCTTGCAATTATTTGAAGTTTACCTTTCTCTAGTTTTGCTCGTGTTAAGACTTTTAAGAGTTTGTACTGACTGAGAGCTAAAGCAGGCCTGGAAAAATGCTTCATAGTTCAACAGATCCTCCTTATTTTTAACTCTGTATAAAGCTATAAACTCCCAAGTCTGTCAAGGGATTTCAATTAGAAATTCAGAACTATAATCAACTTAAAATCACTGAGGTCTATTCATAATCTAAATTAATATTTCACTGAGGTCTGTAGTTCTTCATCGACTTATCCCAAAAACCAGGGTATCCCAGACGGGCGCATAGAGATGACTATTTTTTCACTTCAAACCATAGGCGCGACGAATTGCCTCTTCCAGAAGAATTGCTTCTTCCTCTCTCTGTCCCTCCTTCCAGACCTTGAAGTGCAGTGCCGAAGGGTTGGAGCTGGAATCTCTCCATTTCCTCAGCAGAGAGATGGGGTAGAGCCCTCCAAGACGCAGTCCTTGTCGTACACTCATGCAGTGCCACATTTTGGCGTTGACGTTTTCTGTTGCTGCTGCTTGATTGTTGATGGCGGCAGGTCTTGTATTATCATCGTCGCTCAGATCGATGATCTCGATCTTTCCTGTAGCACACTTTTCGGTCTTTTGGCTCGGCTCTTTGCCGGTTTGCTCATCTGTGTTTGATGCCACTTTGGGTGCATCTTTCTCTATGCTTTTTTCCATGGGAAAGGGTACTGCTGCAGGTGTTTCTTTCTCAGTAGTTTTGGCCGCCTTTTTTCGGAGATCCTCTTGTCTGGTTTTCTCCATGTTGTCAGGAGGAAGGAATATATGTTTCTGGGTGTTTACGACCACCTTTTGGATCCCCTCTTCCCTGATTTTATCCACCACGTTGTTGTCAGGAGAAAGTGATGCAGTACGAGCAGGAGGAGAGGTTTGAGCAGCTTTAATGGCATTTCCTGAACCCATTCAAGTTTACAGTTAGTCTAGTTCTTTTGGGCAACTTGTACATAACAAGACAATGCAAATTAAAGGAGAAGCTGGACAAACCTGTAGCTTCCACCACATTGCGTGGACTCGAAGTTCCCTCTCTGATTAGACATTTGGATGGTTTCGCTTTTATCAAAACTTCTCCTGGTTGTAGAAACGTTGCTTGCTCTTCATGCCTTGGTATTTCCTTGCATGCTGATTCAGCCGCCTCTTCATCTGCATCGATCTCTGGGAATTTCTGTAGCAGCCGAGATTGCTCCTCGGGTGTTTGGAGATTGTTCCATGTTTCCCAGTACTCGGCAAGCGTAGGCAGGGAACTAGTTAAGGGTTTGCAAAACTTTCTATAAACATTGAAAAAGGAAAATAGAAGAATCTGCTATGTAACTGTTACAGCTTTGCTATTAAATAAATGAAAAGGATATTCTCTTCTCCATCCCTTCTCACTTGCCTGACCAATACGGCGTTTTAGTAATGCCAGCTCTCTTACGATCCACTTGATCATTGCAGATGATGAAAGACAAGTAACATCGTCAACAGAACGAACCAACATCGTCTAAGAACTTAGACTACACTTCTTATACTAGTACTCTGCCACAGAAGGAATGAATAAAAAGAAGGCAACTCTAGCAAACTACACAGTGATGCTAACCAAGAACCAAGCGCCTTATTGAATTCATATTGAAAATGTACTAGAACTCAGATTATCATGACTAAAAACTATGATCCAGGAAGATTACTTCACAAAAAAATGCTACAATTACTTTCTAATGTTTTTTCCCCAGTGAATTTACCTGTTCTACTTTTTCATACTAAGGGTACAAGACCATCTTTCCCCAAAATAAGAATAACCACGTTATTTACACACATATTACGTAATTCTTGAACAAGGAACTAAGGGTACATACATCTCTTGTTATAGCCTCATGGAGACTCTGAGCCTTCTCCTCAAAGTCTGCCTGTGAAACAAGCATCATTGGCATCTTAGATTAGCAGTCCACAGAAATCATACACTAACCATCAATAGGAAAGTCTAATAACTTATGGTCTAATAAAGATCTCCACCTTCGAAGGATGAAGGAGAATAATAATAAAAGCATTATTTAAGGCATACTCCTACAAAAATCAAACAAGGTAGAAATGAATCACTGTCACTGGATTAATCCGCTACGTGCAGTCATTGAAAAACGAAGAACCTCTAATGCATGCATGCATGCACGGATTACACGACAAATCATACGTTACTAGTCCATTGCCCCATTTACTTGCCATAAAAAGGCTCCTGTTTATAGATGTGTCCTTTTCCAGATTAAGAGAGCAAGCCAAAGAAAGAATCTGGCTAAAATCTGTAGACTTCTAAGGAAGTATATCATTGGGTCTTAGTAATGAAATAGGAACGAAGAACCAAAGGCAGATATGCAAAAAAAGACAACTGATCAAGGGAAAGGCTGAAAATGACAAGCACCAAGAGCATCAATTCTGGAAACCAAATTACGAGTACGAGAAATAGAGAGAAGTGCTTTGCTGGAGAGTGGAGATAGAAAATGCATATGAGAGGTAAAAAGTAGCAGAAACTTACAATCAGAGGCCTTTTAAGCAGGCCGTCCTTAACTCGTTGACGCAGGTCCTCACATTCATCCTGCAAGAAAATCACAGAAAGAAATAATCCGTGCACATGAAATAAATGAAAACACATTTCACTTATCTCATAGGAAGAGACAGGCTGCTAGATAAAAGGTTATACAAATTCCCCAGTTATGTACTTCGAGATTGCCAATTCAAGTTTGCTAAAAAATTCAAGCTGTGATACCACTATTTACCTCAGTGAAATTATCATCAGAAACCTTAGAAATGGGTACATCTTTCAGCACACAGGAAACCTCCAGAAGAACAGAATCCCCCATTTCAGCATTTCCTGGAGTTCTCTTTACACCTGTAGTGCATACAAGACGAGCTCATCATACAACATGAACATGGTGGACAAAACAATCTAAGCTAGAAATTCATTTTCGCTTGAGTCCTCCCTTTTATCATTCACTAAGTACCAACAACAGCAATGAAAATGGGAGAACTACCTTTCACCAAAACAAGCAGATGGGAGGTTGTCCTAGAGTAGTCATAAGGATCAGTCTTGATCCTCACAAAACATCCCACAACTTTAGCATCGAAGCTCTCCGTCTCCTTCATCAACTCATCCAACACATTCTTCCTCAGGTAAACGCGTTTGATATTCTCAGCAGTAACCGATGCAAACAACCCTTTTCGCACAACCATAACCTCCTTCCCCAACTTCTGGCAACCAGCTTTGGGCCTTGATTTCCTCTTCCTCTTCTCACCAGACGACGCTACATAATTCTCACCACTCCCTTCACCAACTTCAAGCCCCTGATCAACCTGTTCATCTACCTCCATCGCATCATCATCATCACCATGATCATCCGATTGGTTCTCGGCAAAATGCTTCCCCACGTGTGTATGGATGCCATTCTTACTGATCCACTTCCGCCTGAAAAGTGTCTGAAGTTTTGCGTCACAGAGAATCCTCTTCCTCTTCTCCGGATCAAACAGGCTGTTATCAGCACAGTACTTGGAAATTATCCCGACGACTTCTTGTTGAGACAATTGCTCGGCCGTCTCCTTCCCTATTGAAGCAAGGAACTCGAGCAGGTCTTTCGAGCCCCATCCACTGAACACCAACTTTCTTCTCATCTTCCGAACTTCGCACAAACAGCAATTCAAAAACCAGAAACGGAAATCTGAAACCCTAGAAAAGCTGAAATAAAATTTCTCCCCTGACGCAAATCATCAACATCTAGGAGATTTCCAACTGCCATTTCAAATAGCGCACAAGGCAACTGATCAGGAACATTTCAAACAAAACGAGAAGGCGGAATTCACAGGTCCTAGAGGCGAAATGCTCGAAAATTAACAGAAGGAGGAAAGGAAAAGACGAACTGTTAAGAATCAGGAGCGCGGTCTGTTCTTCCTTCCTTCCTTAAGAACCCGCCATGCAAAAAATGCTGAGAACTCCACGACTCCTCCATCGTCACACGGGAAGAATCGAGCTTAGAATGGTTGCAGTTGCTTGGAGGATTACGAAGGAAACGCACGCTCTCGCTCAGGCGCCACTGATGGGGAGGAAATTTGATGATTTTCTCTGCTGAGAACTTTAGTGGAATGGAATGTACCGAGTGACGAGACAAGACCTCGTTGCTGCGAGGGATATATATTTGGGAATGGGGATTTCTTTTATTAATTAAGTAATTAATTAAATGGATTTTTATTGCAATGAATGCCCATTGAAAGTGTTTCCAAATAATATAAAAAAATGTTGAATACCAATTTTGTCAAGATTCAAATATTTTCTAGGTCGAAATTTGTCAAAAGTTCATAAAAAATAAAAAAAAAGAATGGATATCATTGCAACAATGTTAGTTATCACGATTTTGGACAATAGATTGATGAATCGGCTGACATAATAATTATTTTCACAACATATCGCAACTGTCAACAATATTCATAAAACAGTTAGAAAAAGGTGCAAAGCCACAACATCACTAACATGTAACTAATTAATGTCTTTCCATCATATCTTTTCTAAGATTGTTGAAAATTAACATAACCCAACTTACTTTGGAGAAACTAATAACAAAAGGTATAGTAAAATATAACTAGTTGATACAATCAACTCATCTTAACTCATTCTTGAATCATACCCACTATTCAATTCAACTTCAACCTGCATGCATTGCAGTCATGTTACACTTGATAGCTAATAGGAGAATCCACATAATACTTTTTTTTATTATCAATTTTGTCATTTTGAGGAGTTGACACATATATCTTTACATGATTCGGACAAAACCCCGAATTCGATGACTATTTACTTAGTTATGGTAAATTTCAGGTAGCAAAATTGTTCTGGATCAAGGTTGTCGTGTGACTGATATGTCAAGTCATAACAAAATTTATGACATTTTCTGCAATTTACCATTTTTTAGTCTAGTTAGTTAGTTGGCCGTTACAGAATATTACGTGGCGCGCTCTGAGAACTTCTTCCCTCTCCCATGCGCTCCAGAAGGAGTCGCAGAGACTGTTTGGCTGTGCCTGCTGCCAAATTCCACCGCCGCATTACCGATTTTTAGTCCGGCGACTGAAACCGAGCACCGCCGGAATTCCAATCCTTTATCGATCAACCTTTCGAATCTGCATTTCGTTTTCATACGTCACGCAAGCACCAGAAACACGCTGAAACGTCGCCAATACGACTCGCGCCTCAGATTTTCCATTTTCCGCGCCGGGATTCCTCGTTGTTCTGTTCTTCGCTTCTAGCTAGGTCCCGCTTTTCTTTTCCGGAGAAGGGAAGAAAAACGGGAACGAAGGCCATCGCAACCGCAATCGGTATGATTTCGGCGGCGCTTACTGTGTGTGAAAATTCTTCCTCTATTAGTTTCTCTATGCATGCGAGCGTTTCGATATTGTGATAGTCGTTGAATTGTGAAATTGCGACAATTGAAGTTCTTGATTGAAGAGGAAATGTTTTGGTGAATCGATTGTAGTTTGTATCTGGGTTTGAAATTGCATTAATGGTGATTGGGGGGGAGTTGGAGAGTGGGAATCGGGAGTGGAATTTCCTCTTGTGTTGATGGTGAAATCTGATTATGGCGGTTTATGAAACTGTGAAGATTCTAGGGTTTCGCATTTGGGGGGAGGATTGCCGTCATGGGGAAGCTCATGGAATTGCTGGTGGCTTCTGTTATGCCGGTTCTGAAGCTACTAATCATTACTGCTCTCGGCTTGTTTCTCGCCGTTGATTCTGTCGACATTTTGGGGATGGATGCTCGCAAGCACTTGAATAATGTAAGTGAACTGAACAGTATTCCTCTTGTTGCTAATCGTAATAGTGAGCTTCTTGAATTCGTGAAGTAGGTCAACTGATGAATTATGGTTTTGACAGGTGGTCTTTTTCGTCTTCAATCCAGCTCTCATCGGTAGCAATCTGGCGAAATACATAACCCTAAAGAATGTGGTCATGTTGTGAGTTCTGTTTCGTTTACTGCCTCCGATTGTGACTCTGTAGTTGTATTCAAGGTTCTCGCGAGTTGTTTTTTGCGTTTACTTTTGATGAATGGTATGCCTTGCTTATGCTTATATATGCAGATGGTTCATGCCACTCAACATTCTCTTTACATTCATCATTGGATCGCTTCTAGGGTGGGTGCTCATTAGAATAACTGATGCACCTCATGCTCTTCGAGGTCTAGTGCTGGGATGCTGTGCTGCAGGTGGGGTTTAACTACACTGTTTTCGTGCAATGAAGCCCTTTGCTGGTGGAAGTGCTAGAGGGTGCTACTTGTGATTATAATAGCTTTGTTTCTTATTGTTTTCCCTTATTGATGATGAGTGTAGGAAATCTGGGGAATATGCCTCTCATAATCATTCCAGCTGTTTGCAAAGAGAGAGGCTCTCCATTTGGAGATGTCGATGCTTGTTATGAACATGGGTTGGCTTATGGGTCGCTATCTATGGCGGTATGAACACCTTTCCTTCTCAATTGCAGTCGGCTTGATTGAACCCACTTGTTAAGGTAGCTATAACTGTTTATTGCTCTTGGTTTCTCAGATTGGAGCGGTCTACATGTGGTCTTATGTTTACAACATCATGCGTCTTTATTCGATTAGAAGTTCTGACGGACCGAAATTTGAAGCCTTAGCACAGGCCACAAGCTCTGCCACAGAAACTCTTGAAGGGCTTTCAACAGGTCGCTCTGGCCCGCTGCTTCCCCTGGCAAAATCTACTGCAACTGGGGGCCATACCGAATTCGAACTTGTTCCCATGACATCAGAACATAAGAATAAGGTTCTCTGATTTTTGCCCCTGCATCTTCATTATATTGTATTCAATGAGATCCTCATATTTGAAACAAGTCCATCTGCGTTCTACATTTACTGCTGATGAAATAAGAACAGCATATCACTTCCATTAAAAGTGAAAGTAGGCATAATTTCAGTTAGTGTTTTATCTCATGCTTTAACTAAGTAACTAACTAACATCAGGAATCTCACTAACGTCGTTTTTAGTACAAACCATTGTTAGTTATTAGTGGCTATTTGTTTTCCTTCATTGATTCCTTATTAAGCCTCTTGACAGGTACCCTTCTTAGAGAAACTAAAGCAGGGCATACAGATATTTGGTACAATGTTCAACCTGAGGAGATTGTTTGCTCCTTCAACAATTGGAGCGGTATGCTGATATGTGACTCTCTCCTGCCTCCTCACTCCTAGCTTTATCTTTACTCTGTTGATGAACTACAAATGAAATATTACTCTACCAGGATGTTGTTTGTGTATCTGTATGAAGATAACATGTCACATTTTACAGTATAACAAACAGTCTTAAGTTCTGAAGTTTTTCCCACGCTGAAATACCTGATGCTTTATATATAGATTGTTGGATTTGCAGTGGGAATGATCCCTCACTTGCAAGGATTACTAATCGGCGATAAGGCTCCTCTTCGAGTGTTCCAAGATTCAGCTTCTCTGCTAGGGTCAGTACATAACTTCCATTACAATCTAGTGCTTGAGCAACTTACTCGGATTTTCTTTTTAGCTATCTAATAAAGGTTGTGGTTCACATCACAGGGAGGCGGCTATTCCGACGGTCACACTGGTAGTGGGAGCAAATCTCCTAAAAGGTAAATTAATTTTGCTTCTCTATCTCCTTCTACTTGCTGACTTGGGGGGAAAAGCACACTACTAAATGGGAACCCATAATTTTCCATCTCCAGGTTTGAAGGGCTCGGAAGTCCGGTTATCAGTGATTGCCGGGGTAATCATGGTTCGCTACGTCGCCTTACCGTTGACAGGAGTTGTCATCATCAAGTCTGCAGTCCACTTGGGATTAGTGCAGCGTGATCCACTGTATCAATTTGTTCTCCTACTTCAGTTTGCACTTCCTCCGGCAATGAACATAGGTCTGTTTCCTCGTTGCACAAGGCATAACCCAGTTTGATTCTTTTGTTTGCCGGAGAACATCCAACCGATTGATCCCTTGGCATGCAGGTACAATGAGCCAGCTGTTTGGGACGGGAGAGAGCGAGTGTTCTGTGATCCTGCTTGCAAGTTATGCTTTGGCATCAGTAGCAGTCACGATTTGGTCGGCGATTTTCATGTGGTTGGTAGCATAACTATAGGTGCTGAACATAACACGAGAGGCAAAAGCATTCCCTACAACAAGAAAAGAAAAACTGGCATTGTAGATGTAAGGCTTCTTCTGCTGTTGTTTTTCCTTTGACATGGTAAGGCTTGTAGATTCAATACTTTTGATATTACGTCAAGAAATAGTAACTAGCCTCAATAACCCAAATTCTTAATAGTAACTGTCACCACTCCACTCGGGTGTATTTGTAGAATGTCAATGTATAGGCATGTCTGTGATTGAACGAAGTCCTTTTTGGCATGTTGAGCTTTCTGAAAGGGGTAGCTGAGATCTAACTTTGCCTTATGAACAGAGTCTGCGGCACTTAACTCGACCAGGAGACTTTCAGTTCTAAAAAATGGTTTTGGAGGCGGGGTTGCTTGGTTGGTCTCCATCTCTCTCCTCTGAAGTTCGGAAAGTCAGCCTCGTTAAAGCTTCCAACCTCAAAAATTCATGGGGGATAGGATAAGAGGGGATAAGTGATGACTGATTAAAAAATGTGGCGTTGGTAAACAGGGGCTTCAGTTTCACCAAGGCCCAAGAAGCTTCTTTATTCAATCGAAGGCGCAAATGAAAAGATAAACGACAGCGTTTCGAAGGGAGGTAGGCGTACGGTCAGGGAAAACTGGGCTTCCATTAGACAAAGGGCCAGAAAAGCTATTTAATTAAAAGCCCAAATGACTGAAATTCCGGTGCCTTGCGAAAATGAAGAACGGGTTTCAGTTCGAAACGCGAAACGGAATGAAAAGCTTCTTCTTTATTTAACTGAAGGCCCATAGGAAATATAACCCGCAGCGTTTTGGAAGGGAGATGGGAATAAGGTTGGGCTAAAGTGGGCTTCCTTTTGATAATGGCCCAAACAAGTTTATCTTCCATTTAATTAAAGGCCCAAAGAACCGGAAATGCGGCAGCGTTTCGGGAGCAAGGTAGGCCAACTTTCGGAGAAAACTGTGAACATCTAAGAAAGGGAAAACGGGCGTCAGAAACGGCTGAAACTCGAAACGTTTCTTGTCCTCAAAACCTAAATCGAAACGCGATAAATTGACGAGAAAGTGAAATTGACGAGATCTCGCGATATGACTTAAATATCGCGATATTTCCGCGTTTTATTGACTTTCTGCGATATATTGACCGGATGCTGAATTTTCCCCTCTGAGTACCAAAAAACCGAGGGAAAAACCAGAAATACACCGGACGATCGCATCAAAATACGGGGAAACAACACAGCAATGATTCGGTGAAGAACTTTGCCAAGATTCCTGCATCGAATTGGGAGACTAACTAACGCTGCGCGTTTGCCGTGCGGCGAAGAAATCGCTGCAGGCGCTTCGGCCGGAGGAAGCGGCACCTATCCGGCGCGGCGGCAGTAAAAGCGGCGAGGAAGCGGGTTTCTGTGGGCCGGGGTGAAATCGGAAAAAAATCCCAAATATCTACTTCCTGATCGGGTCGCTATGTAGCTGCCGTCATCTGTTACTCTATCAGTACTTCGCCTTCTTGCCTCTTACTTGCCACAAGTAGTTCGCTGGCGCGTCTGCATCTCGCCGGCCTCCTCTGTATCTCACCGCTGTTTGTTCCGCCGCCGTCTCCCGTCCCCCGACCCGGCCACTCCGCCCGTCCTCTCCTTCCGACGAACCCGCCACTCCGCCCTTCCTCTCCTCCACTCGCCCCCACAACCACGGATCTCCAGTCCGCCGATCCTCTGCTCTGCCGTTCGCCCTCTTCCTCTTCCTTTCCTTGTCGCATCCCCAGGCCCCAAGAACAAAAACCCAGAAACTAAAAAACCAAGTGGCTATGTAGAAGGGAAGAAGTCAGATCTCTTCGATCTGGTTGGAGATGCAGCCATGCAGGGACCGCGACGAAGAAGGTGGGATCTGGATTCTGGATCTACGGATTGGTGGGTGCGGCGGGAGGATTAGTGACCAGAGGAGCCGTGGAGGGAAGATAGGTCGGAGGAGATGAAGAGTCGCCGCCGTCCTTCCTCTCCGCGAGGCCCCGTCGCCGTCCTTCCTCCTTCTCCGACTTTTGTTTGTGGCGGCAGGATTGGTGGGTGGCTGGGTGCGATACTGTTCGATGTCGTCGTTGTCGCCGTCTCGGTTGGCGGCGGCGCAAGCGATTGGCCGTGGCTGGTGTGGCGGGGAGTGGGGTTTGAAAAGGGGAGTTGGAGGAGGAGGTGGAAGCGGGAGAACGGATGCAGGAGGAGAAGGGAAGTGGTGGCGGCGGTGTGGAGTTGAAGGGATTGAGATCGAGGAGATGATGCAATTTGACGGTGGCGAGAGGAACGCGGAGCGGAACATTGTTGTTGTTTTCGAGGGTTAATTGCATGTCATGCCACTTAAGTTGTGGCTTGGTTGCACGTTAACCACTTAGATTTATTTAGTTGCAACTAAAACACTTAAGTGCAATTTTCGTTGCACCGTTATCTTTTCCATCCAAAAACTTAACGGCAGGTATAAAAAAGTAATTTTACATGGTACATGAACATTCCAACTCAGCTTTGGATTGTTGACTCACAGAAATTGGGTTAAACTTGAAAGAAAATCTCAGAAAATGAAAACTCAGTCGGAAAAGCAAAGTACTTCGGATAGATTGACATGGAGGGAAGAAAGATCGAAAGTTGCAGTACATTTGTAATAACAAGAATTAATTTCTCTGTATTAAACTCAAAATAATAGTTTCTTGCAGAAGGCATCACCCCAGTAGATGGTAAACCTGTGTGATTCTTGCAGAAGGCATCACCCTAATTGCCCTAAACAGAGAACCGGACTACTAGCACCATAAGTAGGATTAGAAATACAGAGTGTAATTATGGCTCCACTTCATTCATATAAAGCATCCATGGTGTTGATCAGAAACAAAAAGAGGGTTCCTGTATTAACTGACCATTGACTTCAGATGATAAATGTGGAGTCCATCGGATCAGCCAAGTAAACGGTATAGTTCAACGGATCAGCCCCACTTCAGTCGGGGTTAACGCCATCCCCACAGCCGTTGCCGCTTCCGTCCGATGTTAAATTGCGCGCAGAATCAGTCCTGGGAAGGTGAGAGTAACAGACTACTCGTCGTTGACGCGGAATCCGCTTCCGTTCCGGTATCGCGAAAGCTTAGACAGCTTGCTCCACCGCAGGAGCTTTACAGTCGCCTCCTCCGGTTCTCGTAATCAACCTCGGTCGCCTCCGCAACAGCAAGATCGGCGGCCATCGGGAAACTTGTGCTCGACTTCCTTTGGCTTCACGTAGAGAGAGATAAGCTGATGCTCTGTTTTTCGTGTATTGGAACAGGGGAGTTTGGCATTGGACACTATTTATTTTAACTTCTACAATGATTTGAGTTTTTTCTTTTCTTTCGATGCTTTTAATTTTATCATTGTTAAATTAGTATGAGATTCTGTGAGCCAGCAATCCAAAGCTGAGCTGGAATGTGCATGTGGCATGTAAAATTACATTTTTCATACCGTCGTTAAGTTTTTGGATGGAAAAGATAACGGTGCAACGAAAATTGAACTTAAGTGTTTTAGTTGCAACTAAATAAATCTAAGTGGTTAACATGCAACCAAGCCACAACTTAAGTGGCATGGCATGCAATTAACCCTTGTTTTCGATTGAACGAAAGAAAGGAGAAGAAAACAGAGTGATAGGGAACGGGAGGAGAGTGGGGAGATGAGGAGAGATGACAGGAGGAAAGTGGAGAGATGAAGAGTCTCACTGTCTCCATCTATCTCCATTTTCTTTTTTTGTTTTTAGTTTTTTTAGGTTTTATGTAATTAAATAATAAATTAATAATTATAAATAATAATTTTTTTCGGATAGTCAATTAACCGCGGTTTAACCGTTAATCGGTCGGTCGGTTTGCGGCAAACCGAAGCATGCTAGACGGTCAGTGGCCGGTGACGGTCAGTGTGGTCTCAATTTAATCAATAACCGAGAAATTGGTTTACGGTTAAACTGAAACCGACCGACTGACAGCCCTACTTTACAACATCAATGTATCCCTTTTCCAGTCAATAGCAATCCATGCAAACTTTCTTTCAATTCAATAATCCCTTCCCCCTTTGGATCTTGGACGCTTTATCCATTATTGGAGTGCTGTTCGAACGCATCGGTCGAATAAGGTGGTCGGTCGAAGGGTTGCTTTCACCCAAGTGAGAGCATCTCTTCTCTTACCTAAGGCATTGTTTCCACTGACCGGCGGCGGTACGGTAGATTCTGGGAAAGGGAGTGTACGTAGCGGCAGAGGGTTTTTTTTTAATAGTTTTTATGTGAAAAATAATTATATACTAAGTAGGGGCAAAATAGTCATTTCATCTGGTCAACTAACAGAAATTCTGGCAGAAGGGTAGATTTGTTATGTGTTCATAATTAAAGGATTAAAATGGTATATTTGTTAACTTGCAATAGTAAAGGATATAAAATATTATTATCCTTTTTTAATATTAAGTGTCCAAAATTAATTTTTTGCATATAAGTTCAAAAAATAGATGGTAAATTATATTTTAGTACCTAAATTTTTCTTATATTTTGATACTTTAATTTTTTAAAATTTACAAATAGTTCAAACGTTATGAGATTTCCGCTATGTTTTAAGAAATTTGTGGTCTACTTCATAAGATTTTTGGTATGCTTAAAAAATTTGTGATTTGTTTTAATAAACTTGTGGTATGTTAGGTTTTTTATATGCTTCAGGAGACTTGTGGGCTGCTTATTGAGATTTTTTGTATGCTTTAAAAAATTTGTGATCGGTTTTAATAAAATTTTTGGTTTGCTTTATGCGATTTTCGGTATGATTCAGGAGAGTTATGGTATGTTTGATGAAGCTTCTGATATGCTAAAAAAATATAGGTGAGATTTTAGTTTCTTGTCTTTTATCCTATTGAACGCAACGAAGTGATAAGCTTTTCTACAAGTAGTAGCTATATATGTTACAGATAAAAATCCTCCGGAAAATTGATTTTTTATTTATTTATTATGGTAAGTAGATTTGACAAAATTTGCTTCTATAAATACATCATATCTTAAAAATGGGTAAGAATTTTAGATTCAAATCCGAGATTCTTACCAACATTGTTAACAGAATATATATACATACCAATAAAACAAGATACACCTTGTATACATAGTTACATACCAATAAAATGTATAAAACAATTTCCTTATACATCATGCATGCTCAATCAGATCCGAAATCACAGTTCGGATTTCCTAATGGAGATGATTCTTTCCATATACATCGATACCCATCTTTGTTTCTCAGTAATATAAGAAGAACAATATAATAGAGGTTGAACTCGAAGAACAACGACAATTAATTAACCCACTAGAGAACCTCACAAAGAGAAAGAAAAAAAGAAAAAAAAAAAAGAGAGAGAGAGAGAGAGATGGAGGGCAGAAGAAAGGCTCTGAATGGTTCAGTATGGCTGTTGCTGTTGGTGGCTGCGATGATGATGATGATGATGGGAAGGCAGCAAGTCGTTTTGGGAGGTAGGGCCGACTTCAAAAAGTGCTACGACGACTGCATGAAGAACTGCGACCAAGTTATAGGCACAGAGCAGTGCAGCATTGACTGCGTGGACAAATGCAATCCTTCGTCGGCAGCGGGCAGTACCCTTGGTTATGTTGATCATCGTGGTGTTCATTGATCAGTATGACATATGCTTTTTGTTTTCTTTCTTCGGAAACAGGAATAAAAAATCAAAATAGATCATGTTGCGTGGTGTTTCTGATATATTATTAATAAAGATTTCCTACTTTGGATTTTATTGTTCCGGTGTTATATATATATATATGATTGCAAGGGAATGATGTAAGATCAATTTTTAGACTTCTTTCAAGAATTCCGAGTCAATATTATTGCAGCTAACTCTAACTGCCTCTCCAGAAATTTTGTAAGTGTGCTATGCTTGAATGTGTAAACCATTTTCGCCATCATCTATCCGGAAGAGGTAGGATGACACCTAAATTTTTTTTCGGGGTAAAAATTATTAACCAATCAGAATATTTGCATCAAATTATTTGGGAATTTCGATCCACTACACAAAAGATGATTTCATATAAATAGAAGCGAATCTATTATATCACATTAGACTATTTGCTTATGTAGTTCTCAATATTCGGTTTACCCATTTAGGCTGTATCAAAAAGAATATTTTCAACTTTGAGTTACGTTAAGAACTCAGAACTCAAATATACGCTCAATTAACAAATGATTGTTAATGGATTACATAAAAAAGACTTAGTTAAGAGTATAGAAAATAAAGTGTATTTGAAAATTATTTCGAAATGTCAAAAACATATTGTGGTTGTTTATTTAAACGGATCTTTTATTAGTCAGGTCATATTTTTTTTCTTTTAAGCGAATTACTTGTGTTATAAACGCGCTGTTACGGATCGGGAAATCGCCGGAATCGACAAAGCAAGAATACGAAAAACGAGAATTGAAAACACGACACACGATTTACGTGGTTCACTAACAACAAATCTCCACCTTGACTTGAATCCTCTTCCTCTGAAATCTCTGATGTACTCTGCTCCTCTCTCTCTCTCCCGCCGTCAATGCCCCGTAGGGCGGAGTCACCCACTCAAGACATTCAGCAAGTCCAAGCAGTCTTGGAACTTGCCATGTGGAACCGGCTTCGTGAACATATCAGCAGGATTATCCGTGGTGCCAACCTTCTTCACCTTAATCCTCTTCTCTATCCTCAAGAAATGATACCTCACGTCGATGTGCTTAGTCCTCTCATGGTGGACTTGATCCTTGGCCAAGCATATTGCACTCAAACTGTCGCAATACACCACTGTCTGATCATGATGTTGACCCAGATCACCAACTAGTCCCTTCAACCATATTCCCTCCTTAGCAGCTTCTGTCAACGCCATATACTCTGCCTCAGTAGTAGACAATGTCACCACCGACTACAAAGTTGCCTTCTAGCTCACTACAGAACTCCCAAGAGTCAATACATAACCGGTCATCAATCTCCTCGTGTCAACATCTCCAGCATAGTCCGAGTCAGAATACCCATACACCAAGCACTCTGTATCACTTCCGAAGCTAATCCCCACATCAGGCTACCTACTGCACTAGCATATGGGACTCTCGACATGTACTCCTTCTCAGCCTCTGACTGCGGTGCATAAGCTGAGGATAGATGAATATTTGAGGCACTAGGAGTATTTAAGGGCTTTGCTGAAGACATGTTAAACCTCGACAGTATCTTCTAGATGTAGCTCTTCTATGACAAGAAAAGCTTCTTCTTCGACCTGTCCCTGTAAATCTCCATACCCAAGATCTTCCGAGCAGCTCCCAAA